ATGTGTTTCCATTTGAATGACACAAGCCCGACTTACAGAGGACTCAAAGTTAACGTTATAAACGCAAGCATTTCACATTTACAATTTTTATTCGCCGTCTCTCGCACATGTTACAAAAAAAACGCACAAAAATTGTAAATATTTTTCCAGAAACGAAGCGAAACGTAGCCGGTTCAACGAAGTTTGCATTATTGTTTGTGACATTTTTTATTCGGTAGCGCTCGCTAAGGATTTTCAACTTTGAATTAATTAACGGCTTAATATCTTGGCCTTTATGGTGTATTTTCAACGTAGTTATAAACTATTTTCTTTAACTCTCAATTAGTTAATTCAATTTATTACTAATTAACAATTTTATATTAAAATTGTATTAAAGAAATTCTTATAATTGACACTTACTTTAAATTAAATATATTTAAATGGAATAAATGTTTATAAATCGAACAGTTTTGGCTCTATGCCTTTAAAATTACTTGGGTTTTCAAGTGGTGTTTTATTAATTTAATTGAATTGATTTCAGTCTGTGGATTTCCGAATATACAAACCCAAAATAGGTCGACGTCTTGCTTGTCTGACTTCCTCATAAAAAATGAATCTGGAATCTGATGATCCACCTTAGGAGAAAAAAGTCTGCTCAACGTATGTAAGTGCGAATCACTAGGGCCAAACGTAAACCAAGTTAATATTAGTGAAACACAGTAACCGATACAAAATTGATATTTCTCGATAAATATTGATGGAATGTTCAAAATAACCCTGTCAGTGTTTGTGTTAGGCCGTTTCGACCCATCAACGATGCAAACGGGGTTTTCAAATATGCGCTATCAAAAGCTTCACTGCCTTTATGAGTATTGGTAAAACGTTGGATTTGTTTATTGACGAATAGAGAATAATAGATAGAGTTGCACTGGCCACTGGGGTTTTATATGGCGAAACTGACGTAGCTGAGGCAATATTTAAAGCACGTATATTTGTCTCTACCTGTGCCAGCGACTCCGTCCGTTAGGCGTCAAAATTTATTCTTGTAAAGCCGACCAGACGCGCCGGCCGTTCAAGATAATTTAAAATATATACTTGTCAAAGGCATTTGTTTAGATCTTTTAAAGAGAAATAATTCTTTGTACGTAATTTTTGGGATCTTGAAGCCGTTTTCGCAGCGCACGCAACAACATCCTCAAGCATTTTGGTGCAGCATCCTCAGCGGGAAATTGTTTTCATGTCAATTTAAAAGTTTTTTTAATCTCATTTTAAATATAATTAATCTTATGAGAAATAAAGTCATTAAACCAATTGTGCAAAGAATAAAATTAGACCACTGACGTTTGATCTACTGACTGCACTGTCTGTATTTTACAAGTTTGCACAAGTACAGTTTTATTTAGTGAAAACTCGAGAGCATATTGAATAAAAAAAAATGAAGTTATATACTGGAAGTAAAAATTGTCTTTTTAGATTCGGTACTAAAATGGTAAAAATGGAACTTTTTAAAATTTCGCCGCCATTATAATAAAAATACTTACAAATAGAACATTTGCAATGTCAACGAACTCCAAATATGGCCCAGTTTGATTTTAAACAGATAGATAAGTGGATTAGGTGAAATTTGCGAGCGTGTTGGTGACGTAGACGGCGTAAGACCCGTCTAAGATTAACTTCATTACTGAGTTCTCGCCGCCTTTCTAATTCAATGAGGTTCATTCTGCTGCCTTGGAGACACACGGGCGCAACATTTGGAAAACACGAATGGCGTATTTTTTTATTATAAAGCTGTGCAGATAAGCATATGGTTGCATATGCAATAGCCCAGCCATATAAATTTCAACAAGAAGGGTTATCGATTCTTTTTGTCTTTGGATATTTGGAAATCCATCGACTGAAACAGAAGCGTTCTTACCACCCATTTCATATCTAGATTTCCAAATAAAAACTAACATATTTCAGAAAAAAAGTGTTTACGCACAGATTGCCCATAGTAACCACATATTAGATTGATAACAATATTGTTAAATAAATATTATATTACCGAAATAGACAAGCAGTTGAGATTCGAGAACAATGTTAGCCATCTAATCCGAAACGCCTCCTATAAACTCAAGGCGTTATACAAAATAAGAGAGTGTTTAACGGAGGAAGTCAGGCTAACATTTGCGGAGTCCCTTATCCTCTCAACTGCTAGTTTTTGCGACACCGTATACGGGCTTCTATTGTTTACTAAGACGGAGTTTATATATATTATATAGTGAACTTATAGTTATAAGGTATGACTATAAGTTTACTGTAAATATCTGAATGGCAATACAAAGTTTAGAATTTAAATTTGAATTATGTTATAAAATGCAATCATATGTAATGTAAGAAATATTAAAGTTTTAAATATTCTTTAGTTACTTTTAACACTATATACACCCAATATGCTTTTAATAAGAACAACGAAGGAACAAACGGAACACTACTTATGTCTGTATGTATGTGTGCGTTTTCTAATATAATGCATGCATTAAGTAATTTAAACCTTAGGCTAATCTAGATTTACCTACTAACCTAGTAAGACTTATGTAAACTTTGCCATCGTTATAAATACCAACATTCTTGTACGCATGTTTCAAAGTCCGTGTATCAGCTGAAACTTGGTGCTACGTCTTATTATCTCTATATTGTAGGACATTCGTTTTATTGGGGTCCCGAATCGAGTTAATTGGGAGCAGTTTGTACCCCCGCTTAATGAGGATTTGATAACTCACACCGCAAATAGAGCGGCCCACATTAATTATATTATCGCCCATACATCGAAATCTTTGCTGTAATTAAGATCGATTCAAAGAAACTGGCTTGATCCGCCGATCTACCAAAGCAATATGTTTACTACAAAAGATGACAGACTACTAGATATACTTTACTAGCTGTGTCAGCGACTTCGTCCGCGTGGAATAGTTATTTTGAGCTTCAACTTTGCCCACGATCAACGACGTCGCTTGCGTCCCGTCGTTGACACAACCCAATCTGAAAAGATATACATATGGCGTCGGGGACTTTGTTGTGATAATTTGATGAGTAATCAATCTTTTATACATATTTCTTGAGTATCTTGGACCGTTCTTGCAGCGTACGCCTCGAAAACCCATAATTATGAGTAATTCTCCCCGTGTTTTTCACATTAGCCTCTGTTTCTTAGCTCCTATTAGCCTTCCTCGATAAATGTTCTACATAACACAAATATATTTTTTCAATTCGATTCAATAGTTCCTGAGATTAGCACGTTCAAACAAACAAACAAACTCTTCAGCTTTATATATTAGTATAGATGTAATAGGATTCATCAGATACTGTCTGTAGTTTACGCGAGTAGGACGCATTTAAATAATAAACTTTAACGGTTTACAATGCGATTTATATATAGTTAAAGTAATTTGAAAATTATTTTACTACTGCCCGGCGTTTTGAATGCTTTGCAGCAGCTGTGGTCACTGGTAAACGTAGGACCGTAGTGAAAATAACTTTCAAATGACTTTAACTAATATAAATCGTGTTTTAAACGGGTAAAGTGAATTTAAAAAGGATTCATCAAGATTTAATTTTATGTTTTAAGAACATAGATCATAGACATCTCGTGTGTGTTGGTCCAAGATGTCTATGGTCTATTTTGATATATGGCGTAATACCTTAAATATTAAACTACGAAGGCTAACATTGAACACAGTATTTATTTTTTATTGGTATTACTTGAAAAATATACAAAACTCCACATGGTTTTACTAAAAGTAAAAGTTTCGCTCTGTTATAATTTTAAACATTACTGATTAGCAGCTAAAAAATATAGATAAAAATATAATCTCTATGTCAAACTAGGTAATACATAATATTGTTGGTATATACGTAACGTACTTCCTCATACTTGACGCTTGGTAGGCAATCCGTGAAGAGGTGAGATTCGGTTGCAGTTTTATACAGTGGTATTTGAGAAACCGCCAAGTGAGACATTCTCATACTTTGTAATGCAATACAATTCAACCGGTTCCATTCAAATAACTCGATGTAATTTCTTCTGAATAATAAATTCATTTTTGTTTGTATGAATTTGTTTCGCCTACCTTGCACATTTCATTTTCTCCTAAATTTTAGGTTACCTGGAAGAAATCGCTTATATAAAGCTGAAGAGTTTGTTTGTTTGTTTGAACACGCTTATCTCAGGACCTACTTTTAAAAAAATATTTTTCTGTTGTTTAGAGCATTTATTAAGAAAGGTAATAGGCCATAAAATATATAGATATCGCTTTGATTAGTAGAAGCGAAGAAACAGCGGGGAAAATTATAAATTTTTAAGGGTTTCTAGGTAGGTAAGCTAGGCCACTCATTGCACTCCATTCTAGCATATAGCTTTTAGCTGTATTGTTATTATTTTTGGTGCAATAAAGAATAAATAAATAAATTTTGCTATACAGATATTTCAGGCTTTAAGTTTGAGCGAAACGTCCCGGATTCAAACTGAAATAGGTTTGGGGTCATATGAAACAAACTGTAGGTTTTAAAAACTATTTTATATAATATTATTATTACATGTTACTAATAACATTTGTTGTGTATTTAAATAAATTTATTTTCATTTCTTTGGAACTACTTAACTTAGTGATATTGTACACAAACTGTGGACTGTTCAGCTTTAATATCGAATGATTTAATAATAAGTAATATTGTGACGTTACTAAATATATACAGTACACATTTAAAACACTTTTCAACGGTTTAGTACACGAAATATATACGTTAAACTTATTTACATTGTTTTAACTACGGCCCGACGTTTCGTATGCTTTGCAGCAGCCGTGGTCAAAAGACACCGGCGGGGGGTCATTTAAAGAAATTAGCGGTTTTACTTAATAAAATATACGATGTACTTGTAGTGCTTAAGGCGTCCTCAATTTGATTTTCTTAAATCGGAAACTCGCCTTACCTCTAGGTGCCGTTACCAAATTTAATTATAGCTATCTTATCTCGTTTTTCCTTCAAGCCACAGGACTTAGAGCGTTATCAATATATCTATAACAGGTCCGGAAAAATCTTCTCAAACGTCGCCACATGTACCTATTAATTCGTCTCAATTTCCTGGAGTCCTGGATTACGGCATTTCCTTCTGAGGCGAGGTTCTTGTTACGTTTGTATACCTGTATTTCTACGGACAAGACGATTGCTGGAAGAACAGATTTAATAAGATTTTTATTAGTCGTTTGATACAGTTTTCTGATAGGTTTTGCTTGTATATTTAGATCTGGGATTTTTCACTGGCCTAGTCTAATGTTACGTAATGGCTAACAATATACAATAAATATCTTAAAAAATGTTCAGTCTTTTCTCTAGTGGTTAGTGCACCGGATTTCTATTCGAAAAGTCCGGAGTTCGATTTTCATTCATGCATAAAAATTGTTATCTGCTTTATAGTGAAAGAGATCGGGAGGTAATTGCCATGTTCTGAAGTTCAAATTCGATTATATGTGTATACATGCCATGCCATTATACATTTGGCATAGTGGTACATTAAAGTAAATTTCCCTAGATAGCACCTACGAAAGAAGAAAAACACAAAAAATACTTGATTGTCAGCACAATAATATTATAGAATAAGTTTGAGTACTTGTTCTTTAATTTTAAGGCTTGATCTATTTTTGAATTTAAATATTTCATAATTATAAGAAATTTATTTTTAACTACGGCCCGACGTTTCGGATGCTTTGCAGCAGCCGTGGTCACGGGGACACAGTAATAATAATTTTAAACAAGTTTAACTAAAATATATCGCGTTTTAAACCGTTAAAGTGTTTTATGTATACTACTCACGTAAACTACATACATACCGTATGTAGTTAAGCTAATAGCTCTGTTAATTAAACTAATTAAATGAGGTGGCAACATTGGATTAGATATGTATATTAAATTTAGTTGTAGACAAGTTGTAAGTGTAATAACCAAGGCTATTTATGGCAATATAACTTTGTCATACTTCACTAAAACCACGACGGGATTAAGCAATAAATATCCATCAAAGTGATGAGTTACGAACATTGAAGATTGTTTATTAATTTCATTAGTTCTGCTCGGCCGCGAAAATTGTCGATCCAATATCCGGTTTTACGGGAGGCTCATTTCAATTTAATGAGAGATCATTATATTCTGGAATTTAATGGAAATACCAAAGCCAACCCAAATATTATGAGCCGCGCCATTCAAAATTCTCGCAGAAAAATGTGATAACTAATCGAATTTTGCAATTAACGACCTCGATGATGGCTTCTCTTATCGAATCGTTTAGCAAGTTTATATAAGAGTTATTTAAATAATGATTTTTACCCGTGAGAGCCTTTCTGACGCGTGTCGGAGACCCAAACATTCTTCACAATATAGTGATGACAAAGGTATTTTTTTAATACTAGAGGAGGATAGACAAGTATGAACTTGATGGTAGATGAAATACCCCAGCCTATAGCATCTAAACAAAATGCGTTGTCGTCCTATTTTGGCTTTAGTATCCGGAAATCTATAGAGTGAAACCGAAACGTGATTAAACTTCACGGCCTTTTCCAGATGAAAAGCACCTTTCGACCCATTTAATACCCAGGTTTCCAGACGAAGCTCAACATGTTTCAGAAAATATTCATGGGCTCGTTAGTCTAATGGTACAAATGTATGGCTAGGAATCCACATGTCGTGGGTTCGCTCCCCACCGAATCCTGTTGGATGATTCTAATGAAATTATAATATTACTGAAACATGGGTATCGTCTGTGAAATCGAGATAATAAATAGGTCCACAGATGAATAACTCGTCAAGTTTAATCGTGTTTCTGTTTCAGTCTGTGGATTTCCGAATATCTAAAGCCAAAATAGGTCAACTTGTGAAGATGTTATATGGCTGTGGCTTTTCATCTTCCATCATGTGAACCTCGTGATTGTCTGTCTTCTTTTAACATTTAAAAAGCTTTATGAAATCTTAGCAATAATTAATTACATTTCTACGTATCCTAGAAAAGGTACGATGCTTTTATTTACCCGCAGATAAGTATCCCACTCCAAGGAGACAAAAGGCTCCGCGTAGTATCGTAAGGGAGACAGGTTCTAAACCTATTGTGGATTCACCTTGCCCCTGAAAGTATTTATTATTGTATTCTATTAAGATATTTTATATGAATCTATACTAATATTATGAAGTTGACGAGTTTGTTTGTTTGAACGCGCAAATCTCAGGAACTACTAACTCTAATTTTTAAAATCTTTTTGTTTTGGATACACCAGTTATCGAGTAATGCTATAGGCTATATAACATCACGATGCTTCGAAAATAAGGCAATGATTATATGTCTATCTTTTAAAATTAACTTAGGTTTGTAAAACAAAATGTTGATGCCCAAAGAACTCTCCTAACGCGGACGAAGACGTGGGCATAACTAGTGGTCTTATTAAAACGAATATACAGGATCTAAATTAAAAAGGATATACAGAATGTTCATCCGTTATGCTACAAATATTTTTTCTATGTCATTTAAGTGGACGTTGGCATTGAAGTTACTATAACAGACTTTTTATTTAATCGTTTTTAAAAATGTTGAAACGTTCTGGGTTCTTAAAAAGTTGAATTAATTAATAAAGAAAAAATGGTAATGAAAATATCAACGTAAAAATGAAAATATTCGAGTTCAACTTAGGAACTAAAATTGTGCCAATGAAACTTCAGTTACGGCGCAGAATATTCCTCTATCATCACTCCTTCAAATTTTTTATTTAATTAAACACAAAATTCCTCTTTCAATGGAAAAGTTGAAAGCACTTTAACATCAAAAGTAGAATGTTGTTTAAATTCAAACGTTGACAAGAGCTTCGTTATACCTAAAGAACTAACAACTGAAAAATTTCAAAAAATTCGCGCACTTACGCCGTTTCTATTTTCACAATTTGACTGCGAATTTATAAAAATCTATTCGTTTCAACATTCAAAGAATTAGTTTATTGGATATCAAAAAAACTTCACAGTTTAATATTGGCTAGCCATCATCAACGACCAAAAAATCTTTTTCATAAGTTTTGAGAACGCTGGAATAATTTTTAATTCATCTATTTTATAAATTTTAATAAAGCTTCGAAAGTGCCTGAGGCAAAAGTCTGCGAAAGTTAATATAAGCAATAACGAAAATACTTTGGTCATTTTCGAGGTCCGCAGATATATGTATGGACGAAGTAGGGGTATTATGTTAATAAATAATAATCTGTTTGAGGAACATTCTTATCATTTTTAAAACTATTTTTATATAACAAGCTATATATATATAGCTATATATATATGTATGGTTTAAATGAAACACTTTAACGGTTTAAAACGCGATATATTAGTTAAACTTATTTTTTTTAAATTTCGGCCCGACGTTTCGTTTAACTAATATATCGCGTTTTAAACCGTTAAAGTGTTTTATTTAAATGTGTACTACTCGCGTAAACTACAGACAGTATTTTATATGTGTGGTTTATTTCTCTATTATAGCTTAGTGTCCTTATATTTGTATCGATATCACCAAAAACTACGTCGTTTGCTTTTAAATAGTTAAACAGGACTTACCAATTCAAATTCGCCTGTTAACTGTCCATTTTTATTTTCCTCCATATTCCTTTATTGAAAATCATGTTTCTTTGTTATTAGACCACTCTGGCTCTAGCAGCCTCATATTATATTCGTACTTATAGCAGGTAAGCCTAGACAGATATTATCTCCTTTTTTTTTCAAATTGACATATATTATACCTGAGAGGTAGCTCCACCTTCTCCTGATTCGCTGCTTTCTCTGTTCTCACTCTCTGTCACTTTCTCAGACCTTCTAGCCGCTTCCGGGAGGTTTTTATATTCATCTGTCGTCATTTTCGTCAAAATGCCGGCTTCAAAAAGCGTCATTACCCTAAAAATATATTATTACCAAATACTGTTTGTTCTTCACGAGAGTAGTACACATTTAAATAAAACAGTTTAACGGATTAAAATGCGTAAAAATACATATACTACTATTTTATAGTTTCCACGTTTGCCGAAACGTCGGACCGTAGTTAAACTGCTTTTTTCTAACACATTTTTAATTTATTGTAACTACAGCCCGTTTCCGTTTCGGATTTCGTCCTCCCGTGACCGCGACTGCAGTAAAGTAATCAAAACGCCTGGCAGTAGATACAATAAATGAAAAATACATCTTAAGATGTGCACTATTCGCGTAAACTACAAACACTTACTGTTTGGTACTTAAATAAGTTCTTACGCAAATATATTATAGCAAGCGAAGTGAAAAAAATATATGTAATAACAAGAACAATATTTCTTAGTCTAGTAAAGCTTATTCTCTCACACATTGTTGAATGTTTCCAAGTACGGACAGCCGATTTGTAGGGCGACGGCTGAGTAGCGGGTATAAAGTTTTTCACTCAAGTGGAAATTGTGGGAACCTGGACAGAAATACATTAAGAAAATGTACCCTCGCGTCTTAGACCTTGTGGGTATTTCATAACAGTTGATGTTTTATTACTATTGATGCTGTGGTATGCTTTACTAAATTTATATCTACAAAAAGACTGTCTTTGTAGTTGAGATCGCACGAGAGATCCTGACTTTGAATCCTGGGGAAGATATTAATTGTCTCGGTCGATCAGGGCAGGGTCCCGCAGGGGGAAACGGGACTTTAGATATAGTAAACAAAACAGCAAATTGTGACTAAAGGAAAAGTATTACAGTATATACACATTATCTAGAATAAGACTAAGTTCTTTAAGTAGAATGTTTCATGCGAGTTATTTTGAGTTTAGTACCAAATCTTTCCGTATCGTAGTAGAGTGTCTCTCGTCCACCCAGAACAGCTATACGTCGTTTTGACAGTACCATTCGCACTCCAACCTCGATACTGCGCACGCGCTGTATGCGCTGGCGTTTCATTAAACGAGCGAGAGAGCCGTATACGCCTGTCCCATTCTAAAAGAAAGTAAAAAGACCATTTTATGAAAATCCATCAAGCTGTTAGAGCGTTAAATTACTACCATTACTAGTGACTTGGAAGGAAAATTTAGAGACTTAAAAAACACACAGAAATTGAAAGTTATTTAAAAATCTGTTTAGTAGTAGTTAGTAAACTAGTATTTAGTAATCTAGTAATTTAAAAACATTTAATGGTGCAAAACGTGACATTCGCGGGAACTGACACAAGGTGTTATGTCTAAGTTTCTTTTGTTTTACTTAGTAAGCAAATAAAATATTTGCAATTCTAAAAATTATTACAGTAAGCAAATCATTGTAAACAATAATGGATAATCTCTAAGTTATTATATTAGGATTTTTATGAACGAACTTGCCCGGACTTTGTGCTAGAATTATTATTGTTATTTTATATAAAATTTTTTGCAAACCTCCTCACTTTAAAATTATACATATAGCTTTACCAACGGTCATAGTTTTTGCAAATATCTAAAATAATTATTTGACATTTTTTAGATATTTATAGAGGAATTCTCTCATACTCATTCAATCTTCTTTCAAACATATTTTTTGGTATATTGAACCACTTTCAGCGTAAATAAGGGAAACCTTTAAGACCAAAATAATTATAATTACAGTAGCTCTTATTTAACAAACAAACTCTTCAGATTTATAATATTAGTATAGATTTTCTGATGAAGACAAACCTGCAATATGGTTAGCGTGGAGCTGTGCTTCTCCACAACTAATTCATAGCCCCTTTCCCTCATGGCCTCTTCAAGAATTTCCAGGGTCCCTATAGGTTGCTCTTTGGCCGGTCTGGCCATCAGACTAGTCAAGTTTGCGGAGTACATATCGCCAATGACGTAAGTAGCCCCTAGGGATATAAGGATGGACACCAGACGCGCTTTGTTTGAACGCGAAGGTTCCTTGTTGGGGGCTGAAAGTGTAGACTTACAGTTAAGTAATAAAAAGATTACTTTGTTACTTACTTTTTTATTGAAGCTGTCTATATACTTGAACGATATTAATCTAAATATATACTTACTAAGACACATATTGGCTTATATGAATGTAAAAAAATGAAAAAAATTAAGGTATTCAAACTCATGACAAACATAAAGTAACAATTACTTAAAAGCGATAAATAACGATACATATCTTTTTCTTTTTTAGAGAAATTTATGAGGATTTAAATTTTTGATTAAAAAAATTAAACGAGCAGGCTATGAACTTATATTCACAACGTGCTGCTGCTATTACCAAGTAGCCTATTAATAAACATTGCTATAATTTTGTTCATCATAATAATCATTAAAGCTTGAAAAATAAAACTAACTTTGCCTTAAGAACAGCGTAGTCGTAAACCAACAGCATTCGTCCAGCAGCTTGAGGAGGTTACGCTGTCGTGGATGCCAGAACGTTGGAGCAGCTATCACGAACCATAAAGCTGGGCCTATTATTAGTAATGTTGTACATACTAGTGGCCAAACCTGTTCATATAACATAGTTCTTTTATTTCTATAATAAACAGGTGTCACTAAAATAATTAAATTGTTTTTTTCTAATGTGGGTTCTGAGGATGCTTGCAAAAGGCCTCGAGAATGAATGACTATTATATTCATAAACGTCTTTTGCGTTATTTACTTTGTATGAAAAGTTAACTTCTTTAAATTTGATGGAAATTAATTTTTGTTTTATAGAAATTGAATGTCTGTTTTTTTTTTTTTTTTTTTTTTCTCTAAAAAAAAAAAAAAAAAAAATTTTTTTTTTTGGGGGGCCCCCCCCCCCCCCCCCCCCCCCCCCCCCCCCCCCCCCCCCCGGCCCGAAAAAAAAAATTTTTAAAAAAAAAAAAAAAAAAAAATTTTTTTTTTTTTTTTTTTTTTTTTTTTTTTTTTTTTTTTTTTTTTTCTTTTTTTTTTTTTTTTTTTTTTTTTTTTTTTTTTTTTTTTCCTCCCCCCCCCTTGTGGGGGGGAAAAAGGGGGGGGGTTTTTTTATTTTTTTTTTTTTTTTTTACCTTGTGGTTTTTTACCCCTTTTTTTTTTAATTCCCCAATGCCTTGCTTTACGAAAATCATAGACCCAAATCTTAGGCAAACGTCAGAAGGGCAAAACAGCATTTCGCATACTGTGGCGATATTTTACGCCCCTGTTTTAATGGTAGATTGTCGATGCGTATGTTGTAATTTTTTTTTTGATCGCCTTTGTTAATAGATTAGCATTGCGTTAATTATGAAGGGTGTTAAGTTCGAATCCCTCTAAAACAGTAAGTGTCGCTCGGGCAGGACATATAAGTCTGATGGACTTCTTGCCTGTCGAAATGTGTCAGCGAAAAACATTTTTTTTCCATGTCGGGGAACAATGTCTTTCTTACTTGCCACTGAAAAGGTCTGATGATAACGAGCGTTTCACTGAGTTTGTCTGGTGCGTGTGTGAGAAAAGCAGCAGAATCAGCCAACGTCAGAAAGGAGAATTCCACAGCTTGAAGTCTCTCCCACGTTATTGTTACGTCACCCAAGAAAAAATCTGCTTGCTAAAAGAGAACAAAATCTATTTATTTAATGCAAAGCAACATAAATATTTCCTGGTGAAAGTTTACTTAGTTTTATTGTACATAAGACATATTTTTTTGTTCATCTGATGACTATAGTTTTTTCAAAACCTGACTAATAGATTATGAAAATAGAAACGAATTGCTTAGCGTTGAGTTTAGTGCGATAGGTCCTGGGTTCGAATCCTAGGGAAATAAAAAATTGTTTCGGTTGTGCAGGGCACAGAAGTCTGATCGACTACTTGCCTGTTAAAGAACGGATCAGTTAAACGGACACAAAAATGTGTTCGCCCCATGCCCTTCGAGGGGGACACGGGATTTGAAACTGACGGGTCGTACTTAAAATAATAGTTTCATGTTTTAAACCGTTAAACTATTTGATTTAAAACTAGCGAACGATTTATATCGTCATAATTTAACGCAAACGTAAAATATGATAAGAATAAAGGAAATTACCCGTTTCCAAATTAAGCCGAGCACCCCTTGGAAAGTTCCATTTCCAGAGATCATTGACCCCTGGCTACGGACAGGCGGGTCATAATATTTGTATCTGTAAAATTACAAATTGTTTAGTAATATCGTGTTGTTTGTATGCAAAAATCCCTTTAAAAATTTGGGAAGAGTCTTTTATTTGTTCACATTTTAGTTCACATGAAAAAAAAACTTATTCAGGCCGTGAACGTACGTTCTAACTACAAGCTTTTTCAGGCAACCCGACAAGAAAGAAAACAGTATAAGTGCAATACGAAACTTACTAGCTACTTATGTATAATATACAAATTGCTTAAAGATAATTATTTTAGTTACAACAAGAAATTACCAACAAATAGGTTTTTCGTTCTATCTCCCTCTATCTCTACGTAAATAAAGTCAATTTCAAAATCAAAAATAAATTGAAAAAAAATCGACTCGGACAGGACTTGAACCGGAATCGAGTAGAACTCGGTAATTGGTAGTGCAAGAGCGCGGAACGCTGACGATGCCGGTTCAAGATCTGCCCGAGTCAATTTTTTTAACATTTCTTTTCGATTTTTAAATGATATAGTGCCACCATGAGCAATGTGAAAAATATTAAGGTTTTCAAGTAGAGTCAAGTTAACTTGAAATTACGTAAGACACTTGGAAGGACTTACTAATATTTTTGCTACTAACTTGAAATTCAATTTCTTAGCCAGCACTGCCAATAGTTTGTCATCTCTGCCCCCTGTCACGTTCACCGCAGATGAATTATTCTTATACTGTACAAAGTGCCAAGGTGGAGCCTGCGAGGAAAATAGAACTTTAACGGTTTAAAACCACTTTAACGGTTTAAAACGCGATATATTAGTTAAACTTATTTGAAAATGATTTTTAACTTTGGCCTGACGTTTCGGATGCTTTGCAGCAGTCGTGGTCACGGGGAGATTGCACGGAACTGCATCCGAAACGTCGGGTAAACTATAGACAGTATTTAAGAATATCACTTACATGCAAAACAGGAACATTGAAGGTTCGTCCATGAAAGTCTTTATAGACCTTGTCAGTGGGTGGCAAGACTGGGTTCTTGTATAGCCGATCAGACCACCAATTGACCAGAGTCAGAAGACTCGGTCTGTCGGGAGTGGCTTGGTTGTAGTAGATGCGGAAACTGAAAAAAGAATATAACTACGGTCCGACATTTCGGATGCTTTGCAAAAACCATGGAATAACGGGGCCGTAGTTATTTAACTAAAAATAAAGTCCGTCCGTCAAAGAAAAAAAACAATGTTAGCCAATATATTTCGCATATTAAACCGTTAAAAGTGTTTCTTTTAAATATCTTGAACTTATTATATTGCAATAATGCATGATTAGTGTTTTTCTTCTAAATAATGAAAATATTTAAGCATGTCCAATTACGACAAATATTGTACATTATTAGATAACCTATTAAGAAAAATATCTTACTAACTCCGGGTTACGCCGTTTTCACGACCTGACAAAGCATTCAGTATTGATTCCAGTGGAATCCGAAAATAATCTAAATAGTATCGCACTTTAACTTAACTTAACTTTAAACTTAACGATTACTACTATTTATTTTAAACAATGTTATTATAGTAAACTTACTTTTATTATTTATAAAGTTGTATCTTTGTAAGATCTAAATTTAATCTTAAGTTATCACTGTTTAGTGTGTTAACGTTTTTTTGGTGTATACTGTCTATAGTTTTTCGTTGTGTTAGTATTTGATATCATTGTAATTTACAACTTATTGCATTTTCTCTCTCATTCTCGTTGGCTTTTATTCATTTGTTGTTATCTTGTTTCCCTTTTCTTTATACAAAGGTTGCCTGGAAGAAATCGCCAAAAGGCCGCCTTTGCACTAACTCTTTAATGTAATTAATGAATTTAGTATTTCCAAATTTGTATTTTAGGTGCTGGTGAAATAAAGTGTTTTATTATTAATATAATTATTATAAACATTATTTATAAAAACAGTTGTACACTACACAAAAATACAAAATATGAACAAGAGCCACTCAGCATAACAAACACTTGTATGGCAATAATTATATATTTCCCTCCACTTATATAAAGCATGTCTGTTGTCTCAAAGACGCCATAATATGCCTTTGGCACTCAAAAACTACCTCGGCCAATTCTCAATCGGTGCTTCGCTCAATCGAATTACAAAATACGTGATTGTCCAAGGCTTTGTATTGTATTGGATTCGGGGAAAATGTAATTTTTAGAAATAACGCTGGAACGAACGGCAATCAGCTGGAGCGTGTTGTGAAAAAACATTTTCCACTAAGACGTTGTCTAATGAACTGAATCTGTTTGTGTATTATTTGTTTTAATTTTAAATTATAAATAATTTAATGTGTGGTACGAATACAGAATTTCTGAGCCCCATGCTTTTCCTCTAAAATAGTGTTTATTTGAGTTATATAGTTGTTATTGCGCGTTTGAGTGTACATACTTCGTCGAGTTCTAAGATTATTAAGAATATTGAATTACGTAACATTTTCGATTACTCAAATGGTTTTTTTTTTCTAAATTACTAAGAACGATTGTAAATAGAAGGCCCTAGCTGTACCCATCGACACAGCAAACCCTCTTCTCATTTAAATAAGTTATAGCTGTTATCCACGTCGTCGTCCGCGTCCCGTCGTTTTTGCAAGTTAATATATATTGTCACAGAATTATTTAGATAATTTAAAGAGAAATCATTGTTTTATACAATTCTTTTAGTATCTTGAACCGTTTTCGCAGCCGCTCGAAACGGAAACGGAAAAATTTCGACATTACCCACTTCTTCGCTTATATTGGTCACAACGTAAAGTTTCATAACTTTTAGCCTTCTACGGTAAAGCTCTAACAAACAAAAAAAAATCAATTCGAAGCATAAGATCAAACAAACTTATCAGCTTTGTAATATTAGTATTGTTTTAATCGTGTCTTGGTTTAGGTCTAAGACTGTTAGATCAAACGATAGTGATAGATTCAACCTAAAACTGTTGTGAAGCAAAATTTTAAGCTACGGAATGTGGTAGTGGTAATTAATGGCTAGAAAAATAACAGCTGCTAACCAATTGGGCAATACATTATTGAAATATACCCCAATAAAATGCTTGTAAATAAATGAATGCAGATATAATCCCCGTTGATTTTATTTCGAAATCACATATTCGATATAATTTAGTGTATCAAGTGGGTTGATTTACGATGTGGTTTTCACTATTGATTTATTGGTCGTTTTCTCGCTAATGTTAAGTTTCCGTCCCTTTCACATTAACGGAACTACAATGGGATAGAGAGGGATAAGAGATGCGTTTCGGGTTTGATAAGTCATTATTTATCTAGTAGGCTTTTACACTGAATATTAGGTACAGATGTTTATGGGCTATTGAATATGCTAGGTTCTATTAAATTGGCCAAGTTGAGGATTTATTTGGCTCACCCCTAGAGTGGGTTATTCGATATTGGTATTTGCAACCCTTGGGTTTCAAAATCGCTTGCGACATTGTTGTTTAAATACTGTCTATAGTTTACGCGCGTAGTACACATTTAAATATAACACTTTAACGGTTTAAAACGCGACATGTTAATTCAACTTATTTGAAAATGAAATACTGTCTATAGTTTACGCGAGTAGTACACATTTAAATAAAACACTTTAACGCTTTAAAACGCGATATACTCGTTAAAAGTTAGACTCCCCGTCTCCCCGTGACCACGGCTGCTGCAATGCATCCGAAACGTCGGTCCGAAGTTAAAAATAATTTTCAAAAAAGTTTAACTAATATATCGCGTTTTAAACCGTTTAAGTGTCTTATTTAAAAAGTACATAAATTTTAAAATTATATCTGTTTAAATAATTTTGGACCATAAACAAGTAAGTTTATGTAACTAAAGTCTAGTTTTTAAGGAAACAGAGGAACTGTATATGTATAAGTTTTTCTTTAAAAAATGTCATGAAGTTAATCATCAAAGAATTTTATCTCTCGTCTGTAGTTTCCGTGAGTGGAATAGAATTCTTTTGACGGTGTAAAACACGAAAATATTAGTTGATTTCCCCCGTGACCCCGTGACCGTGACATGCTGTAAAGCATTTGAAAAGTCGGGTCGTAGTTAAAATTTATATGTGTTTCGCGTTTGGTACTTTTCAAAGTATTTTCCTTATTAAGTTCTAATTATCTATATTTTTCCGTACTTTATGTGATTTTAAAGGGCTAAATACATGAATTAAAAATCTAGTAAATTTACGACTCGGGTCAGATTTGATCCAGTATTCAGCGTTCAGAGCAACAGCACGGAACGCTGAGGATTCCGGTTCAAGACCTATCGATTTTTAATTCATATAGTGAGATAATAGAATGTGCAATAACATGTAAAAAATATTTATATTTTTCACATGTTATTGCACATTAAAAATAAAGTTTTCTAAGGCTAAATACATATTATATTCTGTTGTAAAGTGTCCGATTGTTTATTTCTCTGACAAAACACAAACAATAAACTTACACGTTCTTCCTCGGAGTTACAACGACCACTCTCATGGCTTCCACGATACTGTCGCGAAACTTTTTACTAACGGCCCCGTGTTGCCAGTAGAAAATATATAGCATCGAACGGTGGATTAAATTTATTTCGGTTAACTGGCAACAAACTTACATCTTAGAACTTTAAGATAAAAGCTTAAAGCACACAAAAAATACAGTAATATATTTTTCAGCTAGTGCACACAGAAGGTACAATATTTTACAGGATAGGTATGTATAAAAAATAGTTCTTAAGCCACCAAAGATCCGTCTTACGTTGCCGAGATTGTGTTATGCGTAAAAGGTGTTAGGTTCGAATCTCAAAACATTTTAAAGTTGGGGTCGGATTGAATAAAAATAAAAATCTAGTCGGCACTGATGCTGCCGCCCGTTGGTCTGATGGTCGCAAAAATGATTACCAACAACTTATCGGTTCGATTTCTACTGGGAGAATGGGCAATGGGGTGGGAAAATCATTTTTTAAGAGTTTGTTGCTAGGAATATTGAAAACGGTCCGGGTCACGAACCACTATCCGCAGACGAAACGTGGATTTTCGTATGTGGACTTTGTCAAAATGTGTTATAGGTTTAGACTATAGATACAATATATGTGTGCGCAGGAACACCAATTCGTGTCATTCGTATATACTGAAAACATATGAACCTTCTTCCGCTGTAAATATGTATAATTATTAAAAGCTAAATTCTTTGGCTGAGTAGAAGTAAATATTAATTCAGTATTTCTTGTACTAAAATATCTTACCTCCGAAATGATATTTTCGCATTCATAGGATTCGCAGAGGATGAGGCTCGTTCTTTCGTCAGATGTGTCGAGGCCTTTCCTTTGATGTTCGTAGTACTGTAATTATTATTGTATTATCGGAATTCTATTTTCAACTGAGAATAATTTCTATTATATTATATTAAATTTCTATTTCTATACAACCCACTGTGTATAATACATATAAATATAGTAAATACTTTTTTCAAAGTCTTAAGATACAATTCGGAGACATTTTTTAAACTACTTTATTTTTACATTTTACATTGTTATTTATATTGATAGGAGAGTACAGTGAATCTTGGTGTACACTTGATGGAGAGCAAAATAACCCAGCCATATAATATCCTAAAAATGATTACGACTTAGTTTTGGCTTCTCGAAATCCAGAGACTGAGCCCGAGCTGTTTTTCATTTTTGGATCCGGATTTTTCGACATTCCCACCACAAATTTTATATCCACATTTTCAGGCGAAGTCACTTCATGTTTCAGAATTATACAGCAATGTTAACATGTAGGACTCAGTGGTGATGGAACCCACGACCCATTTTTAGCCTTACATGCTTACCATAATGCGAACGAGACTATTGAGGAGTGAGATGCACGTGAGAAGGCCTAAGTTCGAATCTCGGCGAATCCTTAGTTTTCTCATCCTCTATATGCTTCAATCAAAAATAAAATTACATTAAAAGATTTGCATATTACGATAAAATTGCTAATTAAATTGAATAAACACTGATTATTAAATAAATATTTCTAATATCTGTATATATGTTTTATTTAAATAAAGAAATAAATCTTTTAATTATTATTTTTGATAGATTTTAATAAATTTTAAAACAGACACTGAATATTACTAAGGCATATTTATTATTCAATATAATATTATTATACCTCATTTTACGGATATCGCTTTACTAATATTTATTTACTTAAATATGGTACATTATAATATGTTTAATAATGTACCATATTTAAATAAAACAAAGAAAACTTATTTGTCTCCCGGCGAGCACGGCTGCTACAACCAAAACATCGGGCCGTAGTTAAAATACTTTTCTAATAAGTTTAAGTAATATTTATCGTGTTTTAAACCGTTAAAGTTATTTTTAAATATGTACTATACGCGTAAATTACAGACAGTATGTACCATATTCTTGCTGATGTTCGCCATAAAATCCATGTACACAGTTGCAATGTTATGATGGTTGAAGGAGTGAATAAGTTGGTGAAAATCTTCAACCCTGAAAATAACATACGACGAAAATATAATGGTCTTGTACACCTCCATACAAGACCTTTCTCTAATTTTGCTTAGATGTTAGTATATCCGCGTCTATACTAATATTTGAAAAACGAAACAGTTTGTTTGTTGGAATACGCTAATCTCCGGAATTGCCGGTTTTAATTGTAAAAATATTTTTATGTTTGCGGGACCATTTATTGAGATTGAAAACCTTTTTAGGCTAAAAACTTCTGCCTGCGGCTATCAGAAGCGAAGAAGTAGCGGGAAATGTGCAAAATCGAAGCAAATTATTTATCTTGGATTGATTTCATTGCGTGTGGTGTAACCCCTCGGTCGCTCGTGGCTAAAAAATTGGACCACGCCTATGTCCTGGCTCTTTGACCTTGGTAGGTTTCAAATGCTTAGTGTCAAAAACTAGCTCGTTTGTGCCTCACTGTTTGTAACGGTTTTAGCGCCGACGCGCGTCTGTCTTTACGCTATAGGTCCTTGTGACTAAAGTTTGTTTTGAAACATGTTATATTGTTTTATGTTTACTCTAATCTAAAGATCGAATTTTATCATTAGATCTTTAGATTAGAACTCTGGTCCAGAGTTATGCCGTGCTAAACGTGAGATAGCGCGTTTTAAAGCCGTCTTGTATTTAGAAAAGCTCAAACCTCAGAAATTAAAGCGATAACATATGGTTTTTAATCTTTGTTTACGTTACTTATAAAATAGAGAATAGAATAAAACATGTACTTGCTCATACAAATTTATAATTTTACAGGCCTTTAATGCCATACCGTTATCTGGCGCCGCGCGGCGTAACTTGACATACACAAAATTACACAAAATATAGCATTTAGTCTTAAAATAAAAGTAACACTAAGTAAAGTGTGTTATATTCTTTTAAAACAAGCAAGAATCATAAAGATAGCATTCACCACTTTTGAGAAATATGAAAATTTCTGCAACAGTTCCGATGCTCTCAATAAAATCGCCTAGTTTTTCTGATTTTATTGTTATACAAACTAAACAATATAAAAATTACAATTAGCATACCTTATAGTACATTTAATGGCTATTCCAATAAGGTATAACAATTGCACAATGTAACCTTTTAATCACATAAATTCAATCAAATAAAAATCACAACACTCACCACTGACTGAGGACCGTTATTTTATTATTACATTTTTCAACTCTTCTCTATGGTTGGGATATGGCGGGAGTTTAACGGAGAAACGAGATAATGTCGAGTCGATAGAGTCGAGTATATTCGACTTATTTGAGTGCGCGGTGCCATGTCAACGACAGAGTGACACACACAATTTGCGCGTCTATCTTTTAAGATTAACTCGCAAGAACAATTTTTTAAAGTAATCAAATTAAGTCAAAATATTTCATATAGCAAAGTACGTTTGTGAGGAGGGACTGAGCAACGCATTCAAATTTATAATGTATAAGATTATAAGTAGAACTATAGACAAAGGTTACTGAAATAAGTATATTATCTAAAGGCCAATTTGTACGGTTCTTATCGAATTAAAATGTCGGCCATATTTGATGCGTGTCTAATGTTATGGTGGATTCGCTGATACATTTAGTAGCACGTAATTTACTAGGCTGTAATTTAACTATACATAATTAATATAGGAATATTGTAATGTAATGTTGGTAGAAGGGTCGTGATCTGTAATCGTGTTTTACAATGATTTCTGAATAGCTAAAGCCGAAATAGGTTGTCGACGCATTTAATAAAAAAATAGCTACATTCGCGTGAGATTTTTATATTAATTATTATTAATGCAATACAAAATTGTATATACTTTTGTTAAACGATAATATTCAATAAATTCAGGCTATATTAAATTAATCTCACAATACCATTGACGTCTTTTAAGTTGAACAACATTTTATATTTTCATTCGTATATAATTTCTTCGAAATACACGAAAAGTTTATATATAAATTGTTAACAGGTTTAATAAATATTAAAAACATAAAAGTGTTTGAGACGTTATTATGTTGAACGTTTGAAGGGTAAAAAAGAAGGCTTTAGTTGTGTTAGAAAGAAATTTCTCTTGTAAGGGATAGTGTTTACTGTATTTTACTTGATTTAGAAGAAAAACAGTGTCTATCAAGTGTGGGCTATTTAGATATAAAAGTCTTCAACGAAGTTTAATTTATACCAAACGACCACCTGGGGACCACCTAGTCTAGGGTTTGAATCTCGGTTTAATTAACAATATTTCGGTCAGTCAGAGCACTTACATTGAAATCAAATATTGTTTGTAATACTTACAAAGGTACTAGCTGAGTGATTGTGGGAGAATAGGGTATCAAATTTTGTTTTTGCACACCTCCGAATCAAGTCTATAAATTTAAGGTGATACCCGCGTCGCGTTTTTTTGAAGTTAATCTAAGACATACACTGACGCGGACTTTTTTCGATCATTTAAAGAGAAATCATTCTTTCATACATATTTTTTGGGTATCTTTAACCGTCTTTGCAGCGTACGCAATGGGAACCCACAAGGATTTTCCCCGTTTTTTCGACGTTTCCCGATGTTGCTTCGCTTCTATTAGCCACAGCGCTATGTTTTATAGCCTACAGGCTTTCTGAATAAATGCTCTAACTAATATAAAACAACGCGCGTTCAAACAAACAAAGTCTTCAGCTTTATATATTATATAGCAAACAGAACTTCACTATTTTTAAATAATAAATTAAAATTTATTTCACCTAAATCAATTATTTACTTTTTTCAAATTGTAATAATAAAAAACTTCACACTTTTAAACTTTAAATAAAATCCTAAAAATTTTTTTAAACTAAACAATAAAATTTAAAACTAACAACATGAAATTTATATTACCTAATAGAGCTAACTTTTTAAAAACAAATTTATTGAAAAAATTTCGATCTTGTGTATCATTTAAGAATATCGCTGCCCGAGTCGAAGATATTTTCGATTTTTAAATTATATAGTGCCTTTATGTGTACATAAAAATATTAAAGTTTTAAACGTAAATTTTTTTATAAATAAATTACATTTTATTTATAAAAGCACAGTTAGTAGGGATAGTGTGTTTAAGCCTTAAACTAATACATAATGGCTTATATATACCTGATATTGGTTGAATTCCCTCTAACAATTGTTATGGCTTTCGTCGGTAAGCCGACCGCTATATCAACTATAGCTCTATAGAAATCTTTGGGGAGCCTCTCGCGATCTCTAAATTCGTTTTCGATTGGGAAACACTGAGCTGTGCTTAAATAGATATAGATGGGCAGATAATAATACATTGTGTAGCACGTTGAAAGGATTAACGAGCCAAGAAACGAATGGAGTACAGGCTTTTCCACCAGCGAGTCCGCGTAATGTATAGATTAATATTCAGATGCGGTAAAAACTTTTAATTTAAATTTGATTGACTACGGCTGCCGGAACATCAGGCCGTAGTTACAATATTTTATACAACAGTTTAACTAATATATATCGCGTTTAAAACCGTTAAAGTATGTACTACTCGCGTAAACTATAGACAGTATTTAAATTAGAATTCTATGTGTTAAGTGACAATAAAAATTCTTGTTACTATGTAGAGACTCATTGTTGTATCCGTTACATTCATCAATTTTATGTACAAGCTAGTAGGTCAGACTTTTGTGCTCTGTGCGACGAACTTATCAGTTCAATTAAAGTACGTGAAGCTTGTAAAATAAAACTTGGCGATAAGAGGACTGGCGGCGAGTTTCTTGCCAATTCTCTTCGATTAGAGAATTGGTAGTAAGTGTAAATTTAGTCTTTAGTTTTTAACTGGTTTGATTGTAAGTGTACCTGTACA